CAAGGGGCATGTCCCTATATTCATCAGTACTTATGACCTGCTTTGTTCTGTCAAACCTCAAACTTTTGCACTTTTAAGGCATAAAACTTGCACAGATCATATTTAAAAGCGACCATTTTCATGACAAGAACTTTCACATATTTACTAAAGTGTTGTGACAATCATGATTCATTTATTTCTGGGGCATGAAACTGTAACGAATCTGAACCACTCCCAAAATTAAAGAGCTATTTCATGAATGCAAAACTGTCTACCCAGTTTAAAGACTGTCAATACTTCTGGGCCAGCAGGGATTAGACCACCCAGCCAGGTCACAGACAGGTGGCTAATCTCATCAACTCAGCTCTTAACTAACATAAGAAAAAGAGGATCATGGGGGACCAACAAACACCGATTGGTGAAGTTTTCTTTATAGAGGGAGCAAGTAGCTACAAGTAGGACAGCTTTAAAGAAATTCAATAACCACTAGACAGAGCAAGCACTATAAACTCTCAAGAGACACTTGACAAATTCAAAAGATCACTTTTGACTTGTTGTCAATCAGATTCACAACCTAAGGACATTCCAAAGAACTTGTCCATCCATGTATGACGACATTTATGAATGGAAGGGCAGATCAAGAAAGGGGGAGGGTTCTACTTTATTACCCTGGCAAAGATATATTTCACAATGGAAAATGTCATTTTCGATATATCCTATATAACCCCCTCTTACTTTCCCTCTTTCTCTCTCTCCTCCTCCTCTCCTCTCTTCCTTCCTCATTTTCTTTCCTTTCCTCTCTCCAAACTTTCACCCTCTATATAATCAAGAAGATTTTCTACATTACTTCCGGTATCACCAATTCATTTGTTTTGTGTACATTAAAGTGCTTTGAGTTTAGTTTCAAGATGTTTTAATTTGAAGCAGAACATTTGATACCATCATAACAGTATACAGGCGAGGATCCAGGATTTCTTAGGGGGAGGCCCAAATTTGAAATTTAGTGTGCTGAAATCTGAAAATCGTGCCGGCCGATATTTAGCTCAGTGGGGGAAGGGGGGGGGGGGTAGTGAGCACTAATTTTTATTTTGACCCCGAGAATTTGCAAATCATGCCGGCCGATATTAGCGAATTAGTGAGAAAAAAATTGCCAGTCTTTTCCCCCCTTTTTTTTGGCAGGGGAGGGGGGGTTCAAGCTCAGGGGTTCTAGGCATTAAATTACCATCACACTAGCATCCAGGGGCCGCCTTAGAGCCCTAGGTGGAATCCAGTGGGCAGAGCCCTCAGAAGCTCAGGGTTTTTCGGCATTTAATCACGGTCAGATGAGCATATTTTGATACCTCATTATTTGTGACACTGGCAGGACACTTTTTGGCAGGGGGTCCAGGGGGCGGAGCCCCCAGAAGCTCAGGGGTTCTAGGCATTTAATTACCCTCACGCAAGCATCCTAGGCAAGGACCTTTCAGCCCCCGATCCACACGTTTCCCCTTCCCCTTCTTTCCACCCTTTTCTTTTCTTCTTCTTCTTTCTTGTTAATTTTTAGCTCTTCTCGTTCCCTATCCCTTCCTTCTCTCTTTTTTTTAGCGGGTTCGGGGGAGGGGGGAGAGGCAAGGGCCTTTTGCCCCCCCCCCCCCCCCCCCGATCCACAACTTGTTGGTGAGAGAATTGCAACTGAAATCCCCCTTCTTTTCCGTTTTCTCTCTATCCTTCCTGCTCTCTTTATTTGTTGATGGGGCAGGGGGGGGGGGGGAAGTAACAGCCTGGGAGGCAAGCCTGGCAAGGACGTTTCGGCCCCCCCCCCCCCAACCCTAACCCCCCCCCCCCCCCGGATCTCCTTCTTTTCCCCCTTTTTATTTTCTTCTCCCTCTTCTTTCTTTCCCTTTCACTTCTTTCTCTTACTCTCTCTTCTTCTTTTTTTGCTGGGGGGGGGGGGCAAAGCCCGCTCCCCCCCCCCCCCCCCCCCCCCTGGATTCGCGCCTGAGTTCTAAATTCTAATGCTAAGCTCAGTCATCCAAGTCCAATTTAATGGTGGAATAAAGGATATGCAGAATTACAAGAGCTGAAAAACAAACAGAGAAACTAACAAAGAAACGACATCATAACATATTTCTCGTCTCCAGATTATCAGATAGCGAGCGCAACGCATCACTTACCCTATACGATCGAGCTGCTCTGCACCAGGTATAGGCCTACGCCTCGCCTCGCCTCGCCCGGCCCAAGCGGGTAGACCACACTCCAAGATTCCGCTAAAGAGTTCTCGGGATGTAGGTCGTAATAACTTGTTTTTTTCGAATTCCTCGTTCTTGACTCTGTAATGCGACGAAGGTCTAGCATTATATAATATCCAACAAGTATATCATAGATCGGCATGTATTTTCTCGTCAGATGTCGACTGACTGCGGCTGTGGTTGTCCAGTGTCTCGTCCTCCAAAGCACGTTTTGTAAATTTTCGAGCTCACGTGATTACGTAATACATCTTAGCTTTCCATACGTAAATACTAGGTAAAATTTATCTACCCCCTGCCTTGGCCCGTTCTTTCTTTCCTCCCCACTCCCTCCTCCATCTCTACCTTTCTCTACTATCTCTCTCTCTCTAACTCCCCCCCCCCCCCCACTCTCTCTCTCTACCTCTCTCTTTACCCTCTCTCCCTCTCTCTCTACCTTTTCTCTTTCTACATTACCTCTCTCTCTCTATCTTCTCTCTCTCTCTACCTCTACCTATCTCTCTATCTCTACCTCTGCATTTCTCTCTACCTTCCCCCTCTCTCTTTACCTCTACCTTCTCTCTCTCTCTACCTTGTCTCTCGCTACCTCTACATCTCTCTCTCCACCTCTACCCTCTCTCTCTCTCTACCTCGTCTCTCGCTACCTCTACATCTCTGTCTCCATCTCTACCTCTACCTTCTCATTCTCTCTCTACCTCGTCTCTCGCTACCTCTACATCTCTCTCTCCATCTCTACCTCTACCTTCTCTCTCTCTCTCTCTCTCTCTCTCTACCTCATCTCTCGCTACCTCTACATCTCTCTCTCCATCTCTACCTCTACCTTCTCTCTCTCTCTCTACCTTGTCTCTCGCTACCTCTACCTATCTCTCGCTCGATCTACCTCTACCTTCTCTCTCTCTCTCTCTACCTCGTCTCTCGCTACCTCTACATCTCTCTCTCCATCTCTACCTCTACCTTCTCTCTCTCTCTCTCTCTCTCTCTCTACCTCGTCTCTCGCTACCTCTACATCTCTCTCTCCATCTCTACCTCTACCTTCTCTCTCTCTCTACCTTGTCTCTCGCTACCTCTACCTATCTCTCGCTCGATCTACCTCTACCTTCTCTCTCTCTCTCTCTACCTCGTCTCTCGCTACCTCTACATCTCTCTCTCCATCTCTACCTCTACCTTCTCTCTCTCTCTCTCTCTCTCTCTCTCTACCTCGTCTCTCGCTACCTCTACATCTCTCTCTCCATCTCTACCTCTACCTTCTCTATTTCTACCTCTATACCTCTCTCTGCCTTCTCCCCCTCTCTCTCTCTTCCTTCCCCCTCTCAATCTCTTTCTCTCTCTCTCTACCTTCTCTCCCCCCCCCCCCCCTCCTCTCTAACTCTTTACTCAATTCCTAAAGTTACTTACCTCATACATTCACCTATTAATCCCCTTTTCTCATCACTGCATTATCTTCTGATTAAGATAGATTTGTAATACACAACATATATTCATCACATGAGAGAATGATAATGAAAGACTTTTGACAAAACACAATACAGAAATTCATTAGAAATCCAATATATTCTAGAATAAGTGATTTCAATTAAACATCAAAAGTAAAATATACAATCACAAATAACACAGTAATTAACATGATTTCAGTACAAAGCTCATTTTTAAATTATAAATAGTCAGAACTATCCACAAAAAATACATGATTACAGTTAAAAATTAAGAAATAAAATCTTATCAATTATTCAATAAAATTTCACAGCTGCATTCATCTATTCGTTAACGGGTATGAGATCTTATAACTTGATTCAAAGCATAAGCATCTGTTCATTTCTCTTGTTACAACACATCTTTTGGTCAGAAATTTTAAGAAGTGTATGCAATATAATATTCTAATTGCTTTGTTTTTAAGCACAGTACCAAGTTCAACATCACTGTATTACCAATTACCATACAAAGTGCCAGTTTGATCTACATGCCATGGGCCAGTCTTCAAATCAATACTTATGAAATATGAGTATTTAACTCAGTTCTTGGCTTAGATGAAATACTAAGCCAACTTTGATATTCAGTTGAAGCTTTTGGCTAAGTATTATGACCTAAGTTTAAGACGGCTCCCTCGCAGACTTAAGCCAATTGTTTTGGAGGCCTTGAATGGCAGACATGGTTTTCATATATACGTACATATTCATCATAAGCTGCCCACAATTACATTAGCATGCATTTGATGCGGCACGTTAATTGTGCATTATTTTGTAGTATTCAACTTACTATACAGGGCGACCCAGAAAAAACGGGGAAAAAAGCGAGTGAAAACGAATTTGTTTAATCAAATTATGGAAATGCAAGCATCAATTTAAACAAACAGAACTTTGTTATTCCTGGCTCATTTTTTCTGATTGAGGTATCATATGAAAGGGCAGAAACTGAACTTTCTATAAATGTGAATTTTTCTTCGAAATTCAGATACCGCCGTCAAATGACTTTTTGGTTTCCTTCCTTCAAATTGCTTATAATCACTCATGCGTGAAATATGCATTATCATGAGTTGCATCAAATGAAAGAAGAGGATCTAAGCTTTACAAATATTTGTCATTTATTAATTATAATTGTGATTAAGTTATGATAAAACATCGATAATTCTCGGTTTTGTTTTTTCTGGGACGCACTGTAGTACAACAACCCAAATGTGATCTTAACGCAGGAGAAGACATCTTACTTAGTCAAGTTAATTAGCCATAAATTTAATTGCTGACTTAACACACATACTGAATTGAATACGGCCCATTGTTTCTCTCTATATACCTTCTTTTCAGAAACAAAAAGTGCTGCAAGAAACTTTCATGAATTGAAAAGTAATAATTATTCCCTCATTTGTGATTTTTTTTTTCATCAAGAAACTTTTACAAACCTGAAAACCTTGTGAAGTTTGGGAACGTTTCATGTAGATTATTTCTGGTTACAAGACGCCCTGGCTTTAATTTGCAACTACATAAATCTTGACAAAAGAGGGCTCTGGAAACATTACTCATAGTGTACTGAGAGAGATAGTTGTGACACACTCGAGGGTATGCACTCAAGGTTCAATTCATGGAGCGCTGAAATAGTTTTCTCTGCAGAGGTTGTATGTGGGAGGAAACTATTTGGAGCTCCATGATTGAATTGAGTGCATACACGTGCGCTTGTCACAACTGTCTCTATCAACACGCTATGACATTATTCATAGCTCATCGTAAGCTGTAATTAATCCTCTACATACCCTACCAATATACAAATGCAACATCATTCAAAATAGACGTGTAAAACCTTTCCCGAATATGCATAAAACTGTACAAAAGAACATTTTGAGTAGAATATTTGAGTATATAAGATATTTGGCAAACATGATATATGAAACTTTAATAAGAGCATGAAGAATCAAAACACTCTATTATTGCAATTCTGCGTACCGGTAGGCATTTATAGGCAACTTTACTGATATCTGAAGCTATCAAGGTAGCTTCTAAAAGTACAGTAGCATGAAGAGATGCAAACAGGTGGTTAACTCTACATTACAGTAGTCCAGTTTATAAGATGATGATGTGGATCCTAATCAAATGATTGGTTGAGATCGTACAAGGGACCAGGCATTTAATTTGCCCAACACACCATTTTGATAATGACCGGTCATTATCAAATGCTAATGATCGGTCATTAGTAAAATCATGTTATAAAACATCATCTTATGAAACAAATGAAACATTATCTTATAAAACAAATAATACACATCATTTTGTTCAGGCATTAGTCAAATTATGCGCACTCAGTACCTTCAAAACAGTCCAAACACCCTTGGCTATCACCTCCGGCGTATTAAGACTGTTCCAAAGGTACCTTGTGTGGGTAATTCTTACTAATGCCCTGACTGCTGTGTATTACTTGTATACTGGTGGGACCGCAAGAAATAGTTCTGATTAATAGAAAATTTTACTTAGGAAGAGTACCGGTATATAAAACATTTTTTGCATAGTTTGGTGAAGAGAATTGATTTGACTTACCGGTATGTTGAATTTAAATCGTGAAACATTTTGAACCATAAGGTTAGTTAATGAAAGGGAAGTAGACAAAATGGAATGAGATGAACTGGATATAAGAGGAAAATGAAAAATTAATAATCTAAAATTATTTGTGCGAGTTTCTCACGACAGAAATTCAAACTCGAAAGCTTACAGACTCTGACTGATGTTAAAATTGTTGAGCACGGAGCTCAGTGATTACGTGCACGTCTTTTGTTGCACGAAGTTGACGTTCATTTACATGTTTTATTTTTAATGTGGCGGATTCCCGGGCCATATCTGAACAAGCCTTAACTGTCAGCTTACCCTGAACCCAATGGCAACCATAACCTCAGCCCTGTATCATTGACAAAATAAATCAAGATGCGTGGACCTACGGGTTATCAGTGTCTGTGATATCATGTTATATTGTAATTATGATTGCAGCATGAGCTAAATCCAGGATTTTGTTTCAGAATCTGGGGCAATGTTACCAGGTTACTTTAACACTTAACGCTAATCCTATATCTTTGACAAAATAAAGCCCAGAGAAATTGTCGCCAGATCTTACTTCGATGTTTACTTCGAAGCACTTAGACTTAGCAAGTTACAGGTACAGTCAAACCTGCTTTATCGACCACCTGTATAGAAAGACCACCTGACTACAAAGACCACATGTTTTGTTTCCCTTGAAAATGGTTTCTCATTGGAACATGTACTAAAGGACCTGTACATGAAGATCACCTGCCTAAAATGACCACTTTTCTTGTCTCCCTTGGGTGGTCTTTATAGACAGGTTTCCCTGTATTTGTGACATGGACAGGAAGTGTCACTTGAGTCCTTCTGCCTGAGAACAGCACACAGACCATGCAGAAGGACCTTAGTTGCCCCAGTTGTAAGAGTAGATCTTCTGCCATACAGGCAGGTACTCCAGAATGGGTTCTGGAAAGAAAAAAAGAAATGAGAAAATGTGTTTGAGAGCAAATCAGAAATGAAAAATATAATCTTTTCTTCAGAGGAAATAGAGATACATGTACATCCATACAATGAGTGATTTCAAGTTGGGTGTTTAAGGCTGGTGTTAGTGTTTAATAAACACTAACACCAGCCTAAACATCAAAATGGAAATCAGCTGGTGTTAAGGCTTTGAGCTCTGAATATCTGAACTTCCGGAAGCTAGTGTTATCGATTTTGCAAAATTGTCGTCTGCTGAACCGACCTTTGTGGCTGGTGTTAATATTTTACGTACAAATGTCCTATTAACTAACACTAGCCCCTAGGGATTAAGCAAATGTTGATTTCCAGTTCGGTGTTAGTGTTGTACCCGCACACAGTCAACGCACGAACGACGTCAATTTATTGTGTGAGGATCAACAAAAAAATGTGAAACAGGTAATTCATATATTCTTTTGTGTAAAATTAGTTATTTTATAAGACCAGAGAAATAGGTGTAAATTTATTCTGTACTTTTCATGATATCTTTAGTTTTTATGTACTATTTGATTTTGATATCGGTATCGGGCTCTTAATTTCATCAGCAAATTTTCCGCTCGATTTAAGAGGTAACACTAACACTAACACCAAACTTGAAATCACTCATTGTGTGTCCGGACAGGTTGTGTATCTGGACAGTCGATTTAAAACAGCAATTTGAAGACGTTTAAAAGCAATATTTCATAAATTTTCTAAGAATTTTGGACAAATGTTTACGATGGTTAGTGCTATTTGATGAATATTTTTCGTTAATATCCAAGGGCAAAAAGGTAGGCTTTATGTATGTTAAGTGTCCGGATGCCCAACTCCCCTTGATATATACAATTTTAGTACAGAGTAGATGTAAAAGGTTCTTAAAAGGTCCATCACGGAGTGGCTAATTTGTGTTTGATCTATTGCAATTTAAAAGAACAACTTTTGTCCTTTGATCAGTTTTCCCTCAAACTTTCACTGTTCCGTTTCTCCCTTTTTTTTATTTTTCTCAAAACTGACTTAATTGCCAATTTGACTTCCCATACATGAACAGTGATTACAACTTTCCAACATTCATGAATTTCGTATTTTTTGTCGTCTGATTTCATTTAAACTCCCATCAATCCTGTTTCTGATTATTTACCATAATACACAGAGTTCAATTTGGTGGATAGGTTAGATTGCCTTTTGAGAAATTGGTAGCAGTTCGAACAATTTTCTAAAGGCAGTAGCCCTACTGATAGGAAACGATCACTTCAAAATCTAAGCACTCACTTTCTTTCAGTGATAATAAAAACTGCTGATGATGAAGTCTACCAACTTTCAATAGGAACACCTCTTAATATTGGTGTGACGATGGAGTCAACGAAAGGAACTTGATACTTGAAATCCAGGCATTTTAAAGAGTTTTCAAAATATAAGATTTGCAGATGTAGAATGTAGATTTTTTCATTCTAATTTCCTTCCTTTTCCTGTTCCTCTTAACTTAATTATGTTATGGTTCCAGGGCAGTCAAACCCTTGTTATAACTTCTTTGGTATGGAAGCAGAATAATAAGTGAAAGAGAAGGGCGAAATTTGAAATAAACCAGGCCAATACTGAGAGAGTTCAATTCAATTCAATTCAAATTCAATTCAAATGAACATTTATTAAAGTTTGAAATATGAGATCACTTTAATAATCCATACGAATCTCACAGTGGTGTTTTGTTCAGTGGATTGTGATATAGTCATGGGACAACTCTCCTATTTGTTGTGTTAAATATATCCTGAATTTATCCTTTGGGGCGGTAATCAAACATATTTTGGATAGCACATTATCACAGGTCCTCTAAAAAGAAAAGATCCTCCTGAATCAAACATTTTGAAATATTGAAAATAATTCTAATCATTTTGTGAAACAAATGGGAAAGTAGTCCGGCATTTTCGTCACAGGGACATTACCGATTTAGCAAATTTGAAGTGCCAATGCATATATAGTGATTGCAACTTTCAAAAATGTGTGATTCTCTCATCTTTGGCCGGATTTAATTCAGACTTTCACCAGTCTGCTTCCCTGTTTTTTCTGCTTTCTTTTAAGAGTCAATATGTGTTCAGGAGGGATTTCCCTTTCAGTAAAAATAGCAACGGTCAGCGCTCTGCACCCTGTGGGACTTACTTGTTAATAGCCTTGCTCCAGGCACAGTGCCACCGACAGACTGCAACAAACTTTTAAGCCTCGTCCTGCAAACATTGGGAGAAAAGGAAAAAAAGAATGGAAGGATCAAAATATGGTAAGCCTGCTTTAATGACCATCTGGGTAGAAGGACCACATTTTTGTTTCCCTTGAAAATCGTACTAAAGGAACCTGTACATAAAGACCACCTGCCTATATAGACCACTTTTCTTGTCTCCCTTGGGTGGTCTTTATAGACAGGTTCACTGTATATTATTATTTAACCACATTCAAAGAGAAGAGAATACTTACCTTGTAACTGTGTTGTAGCATGGTGATCTAAGGAGGTAGAATAGTAGCATCATTTTTCGATTGTGAAGCTCGGATTTCTCTTTGGAATTTAACTTGGATTTCTCATCTCTCTGCATCATTTTAAGGCTGTAGAAAGAGAAAGAAAAGGAAAGAAAAAAACAGTTATAAAGAAAACAAGAATATCACATTGAGGGTTCAGTGACACAAAGACGTAACTTCATATTTTGCCAACATGAGTATTTGATATCAAAATGTTCAGAAAAATGTGGGCTTTCCAGGAAACACAAAGACTTAACTCCACCAACAGTAGCACCCCATTGATGTCAATGGCCAGTGAAACATAGACTTAACTCCTTAAGGCCCAAGTGCTCAGTGACACATAAACCACTTTTTCTCAAAATGGCCAATATGGAGTTACGTCTTTGTGTCACTGACTCCTAGACATGTGCCTCCATGAACTTGTTTATTATAAAAAAAAGTAAATTAAAAGATATCTTGATATCATGATTTTATTTTATTTTATTTTATTTCTGCATTTTTTCAAACATAATATAACTGAATAACAAGGAACATATACAGGTAAGGTATAATACAACATATATAAACAATAATTTCTTAGATAATATATGTACATAAAATAACGTAACTTAATATTTTCAAAACATATCATCATAAATTTAAAGTATTATCTGACCTATCTTTTGGAAAAAGTGCAGGAGACCGCAATCATAAGCGAAGCTTGACAAGGATGGCGGCCTCATGTTGAGAAACCCAGACAAAGTAAGTAGTCTCTTTCAGTAATAATGAAAATAGTAAGATCAGTATAACTAGAAATCTTAGTCACCTCACCTGATAGTATCTGCTGCTATTGATAGTAACCACGGTTTCCATGATGACCATCCCCAAACAAAGAGACTTGATACTGTTCATAATATATGGTTAAGGAGAAAAGCAATATCTTTATCTTTCTACAGGGGGGTGTTTCACAAAGATCCTAAGTTGAACTTATCTCTAAGTTGGACTTACAAAATATGGAAAGCCGTTAGCATCTATGAAAATATTTTGTAAAAGTTATTTTAAAAGGCATTAAATGTTGATTCAAATTTTCTATTATCAAGGAGGTTTCATGTTCTTGATGTGGAATTTATAAAAAGTCTAAAATACTTGAATTTTCGATCTTGAACATATTTTATTCTAATGCTACAAATGGCTCTCCATAATATTTAAGTCCAACTTAGAGTGAAGTTCGACTTGGGATCTTTGTGAAACACACCCCTGGTTTATTTGCACAACTTACATGCATGCTTCAGCGAAGTTTGCTTTGTGGTCAATTTCTTCCACACTAGTTGAAATCATAGCTTCTACCCTAGACCCAACGCTTTACTGAACCTCATCCATAAACCTAAGACCAAATCAAAACCCCTACCCAAACTCTATAACTCTGATGAAATAAAACTAAATGTAATTTCATAGCATTTAATAAAAAGAAATATAAAATAAACGTTAATATCCTTAAATTGGCAAGACATTGACTTGACAGATTTAAAATGACCATTTCCCCTTCCTTTTTTAAACTTTATATATAGTTTTTAACTTTTGATTTGAAAATTTATCTGTTTGGAGCCAGAAGGGCTTTTTATAACTTGGCATTTGAGTAAAAACCCTTCTAGCTCTGAACAGATAAAATGTAGGAATAAAAGAAAAGATACCAGTGTTGCCAATTTGCATATGAAATCCTTATTAAAAAAGTCCTATTCTGTTTGAGTTGACGAAAGGATACAGTGAATTAAAGGTCTGCTGATGTAGAGAGTTTCTCCCATTAGTGAGATGCCTGCAAGCTCTGTCATTCCAAGATCCTCCTCTATTCTGCTAGGCTGTTCAGTCTGTGGTAACTTCCATGTCCGAAGGCCTATATCAGGAGCTACGAGATAAAGAGGGCGGAACGAAAAGAACCTGTTAACAGTGTCCAACAACCTCTAACTACATGGACTTAAGGGTAAAAACATAAGGTACGTTATAGTTTTGATGTCTTCCAAGCTCTGTCATATCAAGATCCTCCTCTATCCTACAAGGTTGTTCAGTTTGAAGTAGCTTGCATGTCTGTAGGCCTATATCCGGAGCTACGAAAATAGAGAGGGCGGAACGAAAAGAACCTGTTAACAGTGTCCAACAACCTCTGACCACATGAATTTAAGGGTAAACACACAAGGTACATTGAGGTTTCAATGTCTATCAAGCTCCGTCATTCCAAGATCCTCCTCTATCCTACAAGGCTGTTCAGTTTGTGGAAGTTTCCATGTCCAAATGCCTATATCAGGAGCTAGGAGGTAATAATAAAAATAATAGGCAATTCTATAGTGCCGTCTATCTAGAAATTCTATTCCAAGGCGCATTTATTACTACCCCGCCTTTGGCCTAGCTGCCATTACAGCGCTCTAGCATTTCAAGGAATAAATTGCTGCCAGGTACCCATTTACCTCACCTGGGTCGAGTGTGGCAATTGAAGATTAATGCCTTGCCAAAGGACATTAGTGCCGTATCGGGGATCTAACCAAGACCTTTGAATCTGAAGTAAAGTAGAGAGGGTGCAACGGAAAAGACCTGGTAAAAATTACCCATCAAGCCTTACCCATTCTGGGCATTCACATTTCTGATTAGTTGTCGGGAGTGAACATTTTGACTTGCTTTGTTTCATTATTAAATTTCCTGCAAAAAACATCATCCATGAAAATAAAATTCATGATTGACAAATGTATCTGCTTTCGTTTCTGGAACAATATGTAGACCTCCTTAATCCAAAGTTTTGTAAAACACTCCTTTTTGCGGGGCAAGATTCACTGCACATCCGATAGATGGGGTTGAGGTATTTGATATTGAGGCCTACCTATATCAGGGACTGCGTATAAAGACAACCCAAACAAAACTTGTTAATTTGAAAAAAATGAAGACAAAATATTATTTCAGACTTACTAGCATGCAGGGAGCGGACAACTCTTCCTGACCTCCGACCTTCAAAGGTCAGAGATTGGGGTTGGTCAGGTCCGAGAGGGAACGGCGCCATCGTGAGGTCTCCGTCCACTTCCGCATCGGCCGAGGGTTCTCTTTGGACCGGGGGAAGGTTCTTGCGGTTCAGATTTGGAATGGGAGGTGAAGATTGGATGCCTGATTTGAGACGACACAGCAGGACTAGACGGAATATTGTTCTGAAAATAAAAAGTACAAAAGAAATTTATTTCGCTGTTAATAACTGTTGATTTAGAAGGTAACCCAAAGAATCAATTTATTAAACCCTAAAGTCACTGAGCCACCCTGGCTTAAGTGTGTGTGTGTAAACAAACTTTTTTATCCAAGATATTTCATAGTATAGGATTAGTCCATGATCCCAGTATCAGCTGTGCCTTTTTACATTCCTACAGCATGCAATAAAATATGCATTTTAAATGAAGATCATAACTTCTTTCAAATATTGCATTTTCACTAATATCTTGCATCCAGTGTATGCATTACGCAACTACATCTCTCAATTGGCTATGGTTGAATCTAATCGCTTGTCTCCAGTGTATGCATTACGCAACTACATCTCTAAACTATCTATGGTTGAATCTAATCGCTTGTCTCCAGTGGATGCATTACGCAACTACATCTCTCAATTGGCTATGGTTGAATCTAATCGCTTGTCTCCAGTGGATGCATTACGCAACTACATCTCTAAATTATCTATGGTTGAATCTAATAGCTTGTCTCCAGTGGATGCATTACGCAACTACATCTCTCAATTGGCTATGGTTGAATCTAATCGCTTGTCTGCAGTGGATGCATTACGCAACTACATCTCTCAATTAACTATGGTTGAATTCTTTTTTGAATATTTTATTTTCAAAAATACTTGTCTCCTATGTGTGCATTATGCAACTTTATCTCTAAATGAGCTACTAGTACAGTCAAAATATGAAAAAACCTAGAACTAATTGCAACAGAAATGATTCCACTTGCATATAATCTGGAATAGCCATAAAAACAACATACTCAAAGTTGACAAAAATTGAAGTGGTGGATCAGTGCCTAATTTGCATAAATTAAAAATGGCCGCCATGTCAGACCCTGGTAGACACACAAAACCTATTTTAGCCTATATCTCTAGATCTGAGACACATAGAAAGCTAAACAAAGTGTCTTTACCCATGCTTGGGGGATCAAGAAACATGATAATAGCATTATCAGCAGCTAACAACTACTTCTTGACTCTTAATTTGCATAAATTTGCATATAATTAACCCTTTTTAAAGTCAAAATGGCTGCCATGTTGCATGTTTAAAACTATTTCTCATCTGATACTTATAGAAAGTTGATTTTAGTGCCCTTATCCATGTTTAGGGGGTCAAGGAACATAATTATAGCATTATCAGCAGCTTACAACTACTCCTTGACTCTTAATTTGCATAAATTTGCATATAATTAACCCTTTTTAAAGTCAAAATGGCTACCATTTTTTCATGTTTAAAACTATTTCTCATCTGATACTTATAGAAAGTTGATTTTAGTGCCCTTATCCATGTTTAAGGGGTCAAGGAACATGATTATAGCATTATCAGCAGCTTAGAACTACTCCTTGACTGTTAATTTGCATAAATTTGCATATAATTAACCCTTTTTAAAGTCAAAATGGCTACCATTTTTTCATGTTTAAAACTATTTCTCATCTGATACTTATAGAAAGTTGATTTTAGTGCCCTTATCCATGTTTAAGGGGTCAAGGAACATGATTATAGCATTATCAGCAGCTTATAACTACTCCTTGACTCTTAATTTGCATAAATTTGCATATAATTAACCCCTTTTAAATTCTAAATGGCTACCATTTTTTCATGTTTAAAACTATTTCTCATCTGATACTTATAGAAAGTTGATTTTAGTGCCCTTATCCATGTTTAAGGGGTCAAGGAACATGATTATAGCATTATCAGCAGCTAAGAACTACTCCTTGACTCTTAATTTGCATAAATTTGCATATAATTAACCCCTTTTAAATTCTAAATGGCTACCATTTTTTCATGTTTAAAACTATTTCTCATCTGATACTTATAGAAAGTTGATTTTAGTGCCCTTATCCATGTTTAAGGGGTCAAGGAACATGATTATAGCATTATCAGCAGCTTATAACTACTCCTTGACTCTTAATTTGCATAAATTTGCATATAATTAACCCCTTTTAAATTCTAAATGGCTACCATTTTTTCATGTTTAAAACTATTTCTCATCTGATACTTATAGAAAGTTGATTTTAGTGCCCTTATCCATGTTTAAGGGGTCAAGGAACATGATTATAGCATTATCAGCAGCTTAGAACTACTCCTTGACTCTTAATTTGCATAAATTTGCATATAATTAACCCCTTTTAAATTCTAAATGGCTACCATTTTTTCATGTTTAAAACTATTTCTCATCTGATACTTATAGAAAGTTGATTTTAGTGCCCTTATCCATGTTTAAGGGGTCAAGGAACATGATTATAGCATTATCAGCAGCTTATAACTACTCCTTGACTCTTAATTTGCATAAATTTGCATATAATTAACCCCTTTTAAATTCTAAATGGCTACCATTTTTTCATGTTTAAAACTATTTCTCATCAAATACTTATAGAAAGTTGATTTTAGTGCCCTTATCCATGTTTAAGGGGTCAAGGAACATGATTATAGCATTATCAGCAGCTTATAACTACTCCTTGACTCTTAATTTGCATAAATTTGCATATAATTAACCCCTTTTAAATTCTAAATGGCTACCATTTTTTCATGTTTAAAACGATATCTATAGATCTGATACACATAGAAAGCTAAACGAAGTGTCTTTACTGATGTTTAGGGGGTCAAGAAACATGATTATAGCATTATCAGCAGGTTAGAACTACTCCTTGACTCTTAATTTGTATAAATATAATTAACCCTTTTTTTAAAAGGTCAAATTGGCTGCGATATGTTGCATGTTTAAAACTATTTCTCATCCGATACTTATAGAACGTTAATTTTGGTGCCCTTATTCATGTTTAGGGGTCAAGGAAAATAGCTTGTTAGAACTTAGGAATGTTTTTGTCTAACATTTTATAACCATAGTTACAGTTAAACAGGAACAAACCACCGTTCTTTTAAAGATAAAATTGAAGAATTTGAAACCATCCTTGTTTATCGGCTTCTTTTATTATTTGAATCCAACACAATTGTTGTGCTCTGGCAGATAACTGGTCCATTCCAAATAAATAATCCAGTGGTTGCAAAAACAATTTTCATTTTGTCGAGAAACAGCAACAGGGCAAGACGGAATCTCTGCCAGAATGTTGAAGGAAACCGCCGATTAGATCTCCCCTGCGATCACCCTGCTTTTCTAAGCCTCCCTTCATCAAGGATGCGTTCCATCAATGTGGAAGAAGGCACTTGTAGTTCCCATCTACCAGAAGGGCTGCAAGTCATCCCCGGTTAACTACAGGCCGATTTCACTGACTGCGATCTTATGCAAGCTGTGTGAGCATGTTGTTCACTGTGCAGTTATCCACCACCTCATACATCATGACATTCTATCTGACAATCAGCATGGCTTTCGGAAGCGCCGTTCTTGTGAGACACAACTGATCCTCACCATCCACGACCTTGCTAGAGGACTGGAAGACAAGGGTCAGTATGATGTAATCCTACTAGACTTTGCTAAGGCCTTTGACAAGGTCTCTCTCAAACGACTCATTCTCAAAGCCAAACATTGTGGTATACACGGCCTATTACTCTTCAGTGGATCGAGAACTTCCTGACTGGCCGTACCCAACAAGTCATACTGGAGGAATCAGCTCTGAAGCCGAAGTCACATATGGCGTACCCCAGGGTAGCGTCCTGGGTCCATTGTTATTTTTGATCTACATCAATGACCTACAAGATTGCATTAGGCATTCAACCACACGCCTTTATGCTGACGACTGTCTGCTCTACAAACCAATCAGATCGACCCAGGACTGTGACAAACTGCAAGAACATCTAGACAGGCTCCAGGACTGGGAGAAGACGTGGAAGATGGAATTCCATCCCTCCAAGTGTCAGGTCTTGCGAGTGACCAACAAGAAGAAGCCACTCCTTGGCTTATACACCATCCATGGTCATCAGCTGGAGCAGGTCAACTCAGCCAAGTACCTCGGGGTCCACATTGATCAGAAGCTGAAATTCAATGCCCATGTAGATGCCGAAGTCAAGAAGGCAAACTCTGTATGTGCCTTCCTGCGCCGTAACTTTCGACACTGCAACCAAAAGATCAAGGAGGCTACGTATGTCACATACACTAGGCCCATAGTGGAGTATGCTGCAACAGCGTGGGATCCACACACCCAAAGAAACATCAACAAAGGTCGAAATTGTTCAACGCAGGAGTGCGCGGTACGTCTTTGGCGACTACGATCGTACCAGCAGTGTTACATCTATGACAAACAAACTAAAATGGCCCTCGCTAGTTAGTAGACGTCTGCAAAGCCGTCTTGCAATGCTGTATCGCATCCGCTTTGGTCTTGTTGACGTTGAATGGCAACAATACCCTAAGGCAGCAACATCTGTAACAAGAGGTCACGGATCCCGCTTCAGAGCAACACTGTGTACTAGCCAAGCCTACATCAGCTCCTTCTTCCCCAGAACTACCAAGGACTGGAACAACCTTCCAATAGATCCAGCCTGCTCACTCTCCCTTGAGGCATTTAAGTCCTCACTGGGAAAGAAGCACCCCTAACTGCCCCCACGGGATTAAAAGATTTTACTCGCACCCTGTACATATATGCACAAGGATCCTGGCCAGCAGGCTCACATAGGCTCCTCACATACACACACAGTGCGCAATCTTCAAGGCCTTGAAGCAGCACTTTTCTTGGAAGAAATATAAATGTAAATGGTAGATACTTTTGCAAAATGGTTGAGACATTAAGAAGCACAACTTCTAATTCTTATCTTTATCCACAGGTTGCCAGATAATCAACCATAAACATTTGCACCTTACATCCAATGATTGATAAATGCATCATATTCTAATATGGATGCTCATTTGTTTTCATGATTTTCTTTCTACTTTGCAAATTAGTGTCATCAAGTTGTATTTGGTATAAATGCATAGGTCCTTATTTTAATCAGAAAGCATTCCTAGCAAACTGTTAAGAACCATTCTAATTTTCTGAACACCAGGTGAGCCTTGTCATTTTGCTTAAGTTTAAAACAAAGTTTTGGAATGTTGATGATATTTGAAAAAGAACCCCGGTAAAACAGCAGGAAAAGTAGAACGATAACTATTTTTCTCAGAAATGATGTTTATCTTATAGTAATTTATGTGATCTTATCCTAGTTTATGGCAACTGGGTATGGAGGTCCCAATACTAACGGTTCCTTAACCATAGAAACAGGGAATCTGCTCAGTTCCATTAAAAAAAAAAAAATTCTCAGAACAAAAAAATAAAGAATTAATTACGCTTTGTGGAAGCCTATTTAAGTTTAATGAACCTAATAATATAAATTGTATGCAATTATGCAAATATATGTAAATATGTAACTATTTATACATTATATGCAAACCATTTGTAAATATAATGTAGATTCGGTGATAGTTTAATTTGCTAATAATTCTATCATCAAGTTATATTACCATAAGGACTTGGGTAAGACACCAAGTAAATGTTCTCAATAATAGACATTAGCTATGAGTCAGATTATTCAGAGTTCTGGTGCTTCTTTGCCATTTTCTTGCCTTTTAACTAAATGTTAAATTTTCAATGTTTTATGTTATTTAAATATCTTAATAAATGCAATTTTTTTCTGTGTTCAATGCAATAATGTAATAATTGTTAATTAATCTATAAATACAGTTATTGTTAGTATTATTGATCTTATTATTTGAATATTATTCAAATTGTAATAGTCTATTCAGTGTAGCTGCAGTTTTTACTTAACAACAGTATTCCAAAGTTTATTCTGAAATCTCATCATTTAGGCGAAATATGATATATAGCTTACTAGGTTTTTTAATATTCGCAATTACACTATAGAATTTTTATTTATCCAATAATTCTAAGTAAGCCTATTGTAAGATTGTAACTATGAAATCAGTATAACTGCAATTTTTTAATTAGTAATGATATTCAAAAAATCATTTGTGCAATATACCCTTTTAGTAAGCTGTGGAATATGGAATTTGCAACTTGAAATGACACAGTGATTCTCATATCATTGTGTATGTTTTTGCTTAAAATCCATCACGCTTTATGACTGAAGCTTATTTTTATATTTTTACATGGACGAATAAACAAATTGAATTGAAGTAAATGGTACAGTCAAGTTTGTTAACCAAAGAAAATGGTTAAAACACCAAACTTTAAGGAGAATTCCACCCTGATTAGAAGTTGGTTTTAACAGAAGCAAACAAATTAAAGAAACAGATCAGTGAAGGTTTGAGCAAAATACAAGAAGAAATATTTAAGAAAATTATGAATGTTTGAAGTTGTAATCAAGCAAACATAAATTGGCAACACCGTGACGTATATTGTGAGCTACTCTAAAGAAAATATTAAATCATGCATGCACCTTAATTACATAATCATTGTTCATATGTTCCTTGACCCCTAAACATGAATAAGGGCACTAAAATAAACTTCTTATAAGTATCAGATGAGAAATAGTTTTAAACATGCAACATGGCAGCCATTTTGACTTTAAAAAGGTTTAATTATATGCAAATTTATGCAAATTAGGAGTCAAGGAGTAGTTGTAATGCTATTATCTTGTTCCTTGACCCCCAAAACATTGGTAAAGACACTACGTTTAGCTTTCTATGTGTCTCAGATCTAGAGATATAGTTTTAAACATGAAAAAATGGCAGCCATTTAGAATTTAAAAGGGGTTAATTATATGCAAATTTATGCAAATTAGGAGTCAAGGAGTAGTTCTAAGCTGCTGATAATGATATAATCATGTTCCTTGACCCCCTAAACATGGAAAAGCGCACTAAAATCAACTTTCTATAACTATCAGATGAGAAATAGTTTTAAACATGCAACATGGCAGCCATTTTGACTTTTAAAAGGGTTAATTATATGCAAATTTATGCAAATTAGGAGTCAAGGAGTAGTTGTAAGCTGCTTATAATGCTATTATAATGTTCCTTGACCCCCTAAACATGGATAAGGGCACTAAAATCAACTTTCTATAAGTATCAGATGAGAAATAGTTTTAAACATGCAACATGGCAGCCATTTTGACTTTAAAAAGGGTTAATTATATGCAAATTTATGCAAATTAAGAGTCAAGGAGTAATTGTAAGCTGCTTATAATGCTATAATCATGTTCCTTGACCCCAAAAACATTGGTAAAGACACTATGTTTAGCTTTCTATGTGTATCAGATCTAGAGATATAGGCTAAAATAGGTTTTGTGTGTCTACCAGGGTCTGACATGGCGGCCATTTTGAATTTATGCAAATTAGGCACTGATCCACCACTTCAATTTTTGTCAACTTTGAGTATGTTGTTTTTATGGCTTTTCCAGATTATATGCAAGTGGAATCGTTTCTGTTGCAATTAGTTCTAGGTTGACCCCTTTTTTTTCATATCTTGACTGTACTATACATGTATGGTTGAATTCTTTTTTGAATATTTTATTTTCGATAACATCTTGTCTCCTATGTAAGCATTACACAACTTTATCTCTAAATGAGCTATGGTTGAAGCTCACCTAAGGAGTTGAATGGCAGCTATGACGATCCACTTCCCTGTTTCACCCCATACTTGCTTCGAGGCCAGCTCAAAGAACACTTCAACATGGTCTAGGATCGTAAGCCATCGTCTTAATCTATCTTGAGAAAGACTCTATAAGAAGAATCAAAAGTAGAATCAAAAGAAGAATCAAAAGAAGAAAGAAAAAAAAATTTAGATTCACTATTCAAAGAACATGCATTACATCTATTAAAACCATTTGTTTAATACATGGACTTCTCCTTTAAGCCTAAATTTAAGGAGACAAAAGACCATTAAAGGAATCTAAAGAAAAAAAACAAAAAACAAAAAAACAAAAAACAAGCAGACAACAACAGCATTCATGGTAGATTTGTTGAAACTCAAGACAAGTAGCTTTCCCAGTATACATTTTCAAGGACACAGCTGCAACAATGTAAATATGCTGGTATTATAGTTCACTACAACTATGGGTATGGGTGATACAAAAACCACATCACTATACTGCAAGTACTTCAAGCATTGACATATACATGTATATAGAATAATGATGCAACACAGTTTATAAACATTATAACAAAAATATATGCCATGTTAGATTCAGTAAGCAGATTTTGAAAGTTAGTATCTTACTTAGCATTTTCCTTGGCTGAGCATCTCAATTCATATTCAAATTACACCAGAGCATTTTACTTACGTGACAAAATACTTACTGATAAGCATTGTGACATCATATGGGCATTCAAATTAATGCACAGGAAACGCATTGATTAAATGCACTCTAACATAATTATGCGGAGCTTGTAATGATTGCCTATGAAAACCACATACCTGCCAATCAAGGCCTCCAAAATAATTGGCTTAAGTATGCTAAGGAGCTGTCTTAAATTTATAAGGGTAACATACTAATACCCAAAAGCTTTAACTGAAAACCAAAGTTGGCCAAGTATTCTATTTAAGCCCAAAACTGCAAATAGCGGTATATTTTGGAAACAAGACCAAGATTTCTCGGAACATTTTCTCGACCAAATATCCTGCTAATTGCAACTGCGGGCCGATGAAAACGCAAATTAACTGGCTAATTTATGATCGGGATAGTTTAAATAGCGGGTCATTTGGTAAATTCGAGCTGATGAAGACAGGCCTATTGAGTACTTACTATCTTGGGTGACAGACTAGCGCTGGCTCGTCGTAAGATGCTGTCGTTGAAGAACACTAAGAGATTGGAGAGTGCATAAACTGCAAGATAAAAACAACAGAAATTATTTTATGAACAGTAGTTAATGTACCTATTCGAGGGGAGATTAACAGAATTGTTTGTTCCGTTTTCCGAACATCATAATGTCAACATTGCTCCATAAATCAAATAATACATCATAATATATTATTTTGTGTAGGTGCTAGGTTGAAGGGGAGGGTCATAACCAATATCTGTGTTTTGATATCAAGCATTTGATTTGATTTGATTTACCAACAGCAATACAGCAATACATTTCATACATTGAGTGATTTCAAGTTGGGTGTTAGTGTTAGTGTTTAGAGTAGTCAAGAGCTCTAATAAATCGAGCAAACAAATTGCTGATGAAATTAAGAGCCAGATACCGATATCAATATTGATAGCTTAACACAAACCGTGACTGTGACATCGCCACACAGACTTGATTTCATGACGATGATTTAAAAATAGTACATGAAAAGCACAGATGAATTTATACTTATTTCTCTGGTCTTATAAAATAACAAATTTTACACAAAAGAATGTTAGAATCACATAGTAAAGGACCTGTTTCACGTATTTGATTTGATTTTCAGACAATAAATTAGCGTCATTACAAATGACTTGTAATTTAGGATTAACACAATCAAGACAATTGCGTTTGCATAGATCTCCAATATGCCTCCACCTAAATTCTGTCCGATCATGGCTTTAATTATGCTTGAAATATCACAATGAGAACCAAGAGCCTACGTATCAATTGATCTTTACGACCTTTGACCTACTTACTCCCAAATCTAATTAGATCGTCTTTCTATGGGAATGCATACATTACTATCAACAAGTTTGAAGGTCATACCTCAAGTGGTTCTTAAGATGGCGTGATAAAAAGAATGTTGGGACTGATGGATGGACAAATGGACGGACAGACAAACAAAACCGTTAGATCAAACCCAAAAGGTAAATAAATGAAAGAATACTTACCAAACTCTGAAAGAATTTGGCCATTATCTGTAAAACCTGAAAGAGAAATAGGGAATTTAAAACATATTTCAGTTTTTGATAATCATTCATTGCACAATGCTACAAGTAGACCTCTAGGTCTAATGCCATTTTAAACAGGGCTGTCAATCTGAGACATTACGGTAGATAACTTCACACAGGCGCGCGCCTGCGCGCCCGCAACCCAGCATCGGTATGCACTTGTATTGTGCAGCAGTTTGCCGTGAAACCTGTGAAAAAGTGTACAAATATGAAATGTTTTTTCCGAAAAATACTCCAAAAATAACAAGAAAATTGACACAAAACAGGTAATAAACATAGACCCTAACAACTTTTAAGTTTTAACTCATGATTTTTAATTGGACATCTAATGAATATTTACTTGTTTTAGTAAGGTTTCTGAACAAGCGCCCAAAATTGCATGCCAGGCATTGATTTATTAGAATGCCTAGTCTAGATTAATAAATAGCGCCTGGGTCTGGCTTTTCTTTTCCTAGACCTAATTTAATAATTATCAACAATATTATTAATCAGATTTTAACGACTTTCCTAAAAACACTCAAATCAAATGTTCAGCCTGATCTCTTCATCTTATTTTCATGTTTTTATATAACTTGGGAACAGTTGAAATATTTCTTTTAATAAGAAGCTCACCTGTTATGCAGTATGAAAGCACACGAAATGTTTTCTCCACTTGAGAAACGACATCTGGGTTTTCAACCACCCATTTACGATACCAAGCACAAGTTTCTTGATATCTCAAAGACATTTTACTAAGAAATTTCATACTAATACATGCTTGCTCCTGTGTTGTTAATGGCGAAGATGACATTTTCAAAATCTTGTAAGTGTACGAGAAAACGACTTTTGAGCGACGGTGGAAACTGCGATCCAAGGTTCTTGTAGTTGTAGGCCTAGTCCCATCAATAACAAATTTTGTTAATATTAGTTCTTGTAATATACGTAAACGCTGCACGTATACAAACAAATCGCAACGAACTAATTTGTAGGGCGCCATCTATCGATAAAGCTATGTATATTTTCCACCTATTTTTCACTGATTTCGATGAAGAAGAAAAAATCGTAAAGATAAGTTACTATTTTCAGCAAAGTTTTATACTTTAAAATTTCCAATGGGTTTACGAAGTTGAAATGATGTAGCAGAAAATCGGAAATAATCTTTAGAACTATTTTCAGTATTTTCCCCAACATAATTACAAGATTTGCCACGCCTTCAAGCTTAGCTTAGTGGCTATCCTTCTTCATGATTATTTTATTTTAGTCCCGGCCCCCCCCCCCCACTCAGTGTTATTTAGGGTACGCATATGCTCGTACCCTCTTTTTGAAAGCACCCCCTATCTGAGGACTGCCAACATTTCCGAACCCCCCTTTCGCGGGCTTTTTGCGGGCTTTTCCTTCCTTGGAGACCCCCCTAAATCAGGAAAAATGCTCAATGTACCCCCCTAAATTCGGAATAATTTCTCAGGATTCCAAAGAGATGAGAGAAAAAAAGAAAAACACCCCCTTTTTAAAGAAATCTCCGGGTGAAAAGTCAAATACACCCCTTTTTTTACAAATCTCGGGCCGGACTTTGTCGCACGAAAAGTACCCCTTTACCGGACATTTTGGCAACACGCATGCGGTCATTCCGACCTCTGAGTGGGGGGGCCGGGATTTTAGTATTACAATATAAGTATTTTTCATTGATAATTATATGACTGCAATATTATCTACCATGGCCAATGTCAAAGTTTTTTCCCTTTCTTTTACCACTTCTATTTCTCCACCTCTTTTTTTAAAAAAAACTTGCCCTTCTCCTTCCTTCGTTTCTAACAATCCTCGTATGAGAGTACAACAAATATGTCATCATAATGATACATAATAAAGAATACAAACAAAGCATAATAATACAAAGAATACAGAATACAACAAAACAACAATTCAAATCTAATGAATAACGATTTAGGAATGATCTAAACCTGGCTATGCTAAACATAAATGCAAGTATGGTAAGTATACATGAAGAGTGGAAAATTCCACATTAGCAATTTAATACAAAGAACAAAAAAAAAATACATAATTGTCCTAGTTATCTACTTAATTCTGAGTTTCATTTTGCACATGTAGGTGAGATGTGATTGGATTGTTAAGAATAATGCAGACTAACAAAATATGGCATATTGTTGTCTCTAGACAGATAAACCTATATTACTCTTTGCTTTCCAAAGGACAAACAAAAAACATAATGGAATATTATGTAATAAGAAAAAACAAACAAACAAACAAAAATATATTTGTCCTACAACAAGACTTTACTACAGATCAAGAATTGTTCGTTAATTAACCTACCACTTCGAGTTGTAACATTCTTTTTTATGGGTGACATAAATTATATGATTGGATTGTTCAGATTATTTAGACCAGCAAAATATAACATTATTATCCTGAATGAGAAGAGTACTAATTTCTTCAGCTGACCTATATCGGAATATAAAAAAATAAATTCAACATTTTGTAATGTGCAAGGGCGTTTAAATATTACTTTACGACCTAAATATAACTCTTCCTTTCTGATTTTTTTTTTTTTTTTTTTTTTTGACTGAATATTTAGAGGGGAACCTTTTACTATTCTAGGTTACCGACAAAATACGGGATGCTGAGGCCATGGACCTATTACGTAATAGGTCCATGCTGAGAGTCTTGCGATTAATTACAAATTTGTAATTGATCGCAACTCAACTTTCTTGTAACGCCCCATTCAGTAAGAGAGAGAGAGAGAGAGAGAGAGAGAGAGAGAGAGAGGGAGATTTGGGGGGGGGGGGGGGGACGCTACATTTAGGTAACTTGATAATTGTTTAAACTTTTATCCTATCAAACTGAAATTTAGGAGACTATTGGGGCGTTGCAAGAAAGTTGAGTTGCAATCGATTGCAAATATCAGTTCAATCGCAACTTTCTTGCAACGCCCCATTAGTCTAACTTAGGCATATCAGTCAACGCTGAGAGACTTTTAAGTGTATATTTTTTTTAATGGGGTGGGGTGATTAAAACTGATTATAAATTAACATGATCAAAGGCGTCCATTAGTACCGAGAGAACGTAATAAACCCTCCAAAAAAGAGGCCAATTTTCTGCCGTTTGATTTGCCCTCTACTATAGATCAGAAAATAATGCACGATGAGATTTAGATTTAATTGGATGGTTTTGTTCATGTATTTTTCCAGACATTGGTAGATTGATTTGGCTTTGCAGCTTGAAGACAATACATATTATTTGTTTGTAAAAATATCGTGAGAAGTGATCGGCAACCCTCCTTTCTTTTGTGGGGAGGATAGGATACGTTAATCTCTCAAGTCGGTTTGACCTATATACATGTCCACCATCATTGATAACACATCTTTTTTAAGATGAGGGAGAGAGAGAGAGAGAGAGAGAGAGAGAGAGAGAGAGAGAGAGATGGTATGATGGTCTGATTTATTCCAAAATTTCACCATTCTGTTTATCTTATTTAATTGTCTGCTTTCGTATAAATCAACTAAAATCAAGGGAAGGATTACCCTTCAAATACATTTCAATGAAGAAAAAAAATGAAAACGCTTGTCTAGTTTTAGAATTATGGCAAATTATGTTCAATTCAGTTTAAATCAGTTCAAAATGATGCTCGGGGGGGGGGGGGGGGGGGGGCACAGTGCCCCCACTTTTCAAGTACCCCCACAATGTCCCATTTTACATAAAAAGTTCCTTTTTCCATCTCTGATAAGAGCCCCTTTTATTTTGACACGTACCCCTTTTCCTTTGACAGTTCCTATTTTCCTTTGCAATAAGTGTCCATTTTCTATCCCCTTTTCAGGTACGAGAAGCGCCCCTTTTCACTTTTGATAAATGCCCCCTTCACCTCTGATAATTGCCCTATTCAAATCTGAAAGGTTCCCCTTTTCCTTTGTAAAAAGTGCCCCTTCCCCTTTTAATAACTACCCCTTTTTAACTCGGGTAAGCGCACCTTATATGTGCACCCTTTACTTTTTGATAAGTGCCCCCATTTAAACAGAGCCACTTTCCCTTCTCATAAATGCCCCTTTTCATATATGAAAATACATTAATTCCTTTCATTCTCATAAGTGCCCCTTTTCATCTCTTGTAAATGACCCTATTCAATTCTGAGAGATACTCGTTTACTTTGACAAGTGCCCCTTCCCCTCCTGGTAAGGAGGTAAGTGCTCTTTTCATCTCTTATAAGTGCCCCGTTTATTTTAACGTGTGCCTCTTTTTATTTCAACAAAATGCACATTTCCCTTTTAATCATTAGTGCCCCTTTTTAATTCTCATTAGTGCCTCTTTTCATGTATTGCCAGTGCCAGTTTTCACCTCTGATAATTACCCTTTTAACAATTATATGTGCCCCTTTTCCTTTTCTAATAAGGAACCTATCCCTTTTTCATAAATGCCCATTTTCACTTCTTACAAATGCCCCTATCAAAAGCTGATGGGTACCTTTTTTCCGTCGATAAATGCCCATTTCCCATTTTCATAAAATCTCTTTTCATCCCTGGTGCGTGCCTCTTTTTGTTAGGTGTAAGAAGTGCCCCATTTTCATATCTGATAATAAGCCTTTGTACTTTGACACGTGCTCCTTTTCTTTTCTAATAAGTGTCTCAACCCTTTCGACAATGTCCCCCTTTCTCCCCTTAACATTAAACGTGCCCTTAATTTCAAGCGACTAAGAGCAATTTCCCCCATAACTCGCTCGCTACGCTCGCTCGTAATTATAGATGTTATAATTATGTAACTTAGCAAAGGCATTTTTAGTCTTCTGTTATGAGAATGTGCTTATAACCCCATCAGGATTGGGTTTTCCATCTTTATAAGATACAATTTTTCGCACTGCGACCTCACAAATCTTTAAAATTGTCCTTGTTCGCTTTGCTCTCTCGCAAATGAATTTTCAGACCATCACACCCAACTGCAGAGTATGATGCTTAAGCAATATGTTATATGATGTAAAACAGTGGAGGATCCAGGGAGCCCGCGCCCCCTCCCCTTTCCCCTGCCCTGGTGGAAAAAACGTGTAAAACACGTTAATTTTACCTTTGTTTGGAGATGGGCCCCCTCCCCTGGCGCTCAAGGGGGTGGGGGGGGGGGGGGGGGTGCGATTTTTCAAATTTTCGAGGGTCCCCCCCCCCAAAAAAAATAGTGCTTACTACCCCCCCCCCCCTTGAGCGCCAGGGGAGGGGGCCCTTCTTTTCTAATAAGTGTCTCAACCCTTTCGACAATTTTAGTCTTCTGTTATGAGAATGTGCTTATAACCCCATCAGGATTGGGTTTTCCATCTTTATAAGATACAATTTTTCGCACTGCGACCCCCTCTCCTGGCGCTCAAAGGGGTGGGGGGTGCGATTTTTCAAATTTTCGAGGGTCCCCCCCAAAAAAAAATAGTGCTTACTAATCCCCCCCCCCCCCCCCCCCCCCTGAGCTAATTATCGGCCGGCTGTTTCGCCGCTAAATATTTTCTCACAAATTGGGCCCCCTCCCCTGCCATCGGCTGGATCCGCCCCTGATGAATAAAGAAAAACGAACATTGAAACCATCCCTGATAATGTAATCACAATATAGGGGTATATACCAATGTCTAAAAAAATGTATATTTTCCCTTTGAGATATCCCTTTTAAGCAGCTTTTTTTTCTCAAGAAAATGCCCTTTTTGTCGCTCCGCCGCCTCTGTTTCCAATCTGTATAAATCACGACGTTGAAAATAATAATTAGGAAATGAGATCGGCTTACAGATTACGAAACGCAAAGCAAATGGAAAATGAGATGCAACGTCATACACGTCATAAGAAAAGATTAATGTGCTTTAGTGAATCTTTAAATGAGTTATAGAAACGAAATTGTGCCGATTTAGAGATTATGCAATCAAAACAAAAAATGGAAAATCGATGAAAGCAA